GCTTTTTGCTTGTGTAATTAATTATGCTGTGTTTCTAGGTAAAGAGGGATGTTTGGTCTGCCGGAGTGGATTTGTGGGGTTTAGCCAATCAGATGAGCTGCAGAGCTGAGTTATCTCATTGGTCCTGGGAGAAGGGACTCGACGTACACCAGGAGGGGAGCTTGGCTGCAGAAGGCTGGAGTGTTCTGGATGGAGACCAGAGGGTGATGTCAACGACGTGAGAGGCTGAAGCACCAATTGCAAAGGTTTGAGGGACGAGAGAAGAAGCAGGCAAATCCAGGGATCATTAAGATATCCTGCTACAAGGTGGGAGGGACCTTTATGTCTGATCACTTAACTGTCAGGAATCACTTGGTTGCAAGGAATGGGAATTCCTTCCAGCTTAAAGATTATAAAGACAATTTCATAAAAGGAACCTGAGACATCTGGTTGACCTAACTATATACTGCAGCCTGCTTCCCCCCCACCTCTTTCTTTCTCTCTCTCTCCCCCCCCTTTCTCTCCCTCTCTGCCCCCCATCTCCTCCTTTCTCTCTGCTCTTCTCTCTGCAGCTCAGTAAACCCCCAAACTTCTCTCTGATGAATCCAGAGAGAGCCATTTCCATCTCAGTGCGCCCGTGGACTCAAGGATGGCGGGAACGTACATCTTTCCTTCTCTTTTGTGAATCAGCAGAAAGCTGCTCAGCAGATACACATTTGTTTTGAGTGACAAATGGAACAGTGTGGGGAAGTACTTTATAGAGGACGGACCACGTAACCATAAGGTACGGTGCGCTCCAGGCAGCGGTGCTTGCGATCCTCTTCAAGGCCTGTTCCTGGAGTAGCTCTCAGGCAGGCCAGTAGCCCAACCGAAACCAACTGTGCCAACCCAGCTGCTGGCTCAGGAATCAGAGGACAATGTGCCTCTCCCCATGCCTGGCAGGTAGAGCTTCTTAAACCTTGCTACATCCTTGAAGAGGGCCCTGAGGGAGGGTACACAGAAAAGAAGTGGTGCTCATAGTGTCTCCCAGAAGGTGTTTAATGAGGAGAATCTTCCTTCCCGCAGTTCAACCTCAGTGGGACCACAGTCCATCAGGAAAGCCTACGTCAGGCCTCACCGCACACCCTCTCTGTGTTTATTTGACTTTTTTCATCTTTTCCCATCATCCCATTCCTTTTACGTCTAGAGACTCTACCCTCTCTCTGGCACCTGACCTTCTATTGATATGGCTCATACCTGGTATTTTCTATACTGACTTGCAACGTGATTGCACCCTTCCTTGGGCTGTTAGAAGATCCTACCTTGTTTTTCTCCTGAATTGCTTTATTATTCTAATCGTGCAATATGACCTCAGTCCGTTCAGAAGTATGCTTAGGTAGAAACAAATTCCTTCTTAAATAGCTGTTCCACCACAGCTCGCTCAGTGGCGTTAGGAACAGTCCTTGTTCATCTGGGCCATCAGCTTTCACTTTTAGGACTCTGTTTCCAATAATTTCCTTTCGTGAGACATTGATTCAACAAATATTTGTTGAACATTCACATATGCCAGGTCTCTGGTGTTGTTTGCTTGTTTGCTCTGAGATTGCTAAGGTGTTGTCCCTGTGTTCAGGGAGCTAGGAGCAAAGAGGAAGGACAGAGGAACCCTCTGCCACTTGCTTCCATTCAGCAGTGGCCGGTCTGGTAGGGTGGCTTATGTCCAGTCTGCTCTTTATTGGTCTTTTTATGAGGCAGAGTCTAGAAAGCTTTAAATGCACCCTCTGAACTCCCTAGCCTCCAGGAGTGATGCTCTGGCTACAGCTGTGGCCAGTGAGACCCGAGCAGCAACGAGGTTCTTATCTTCTTCCTTCCCAGGGGGAATGTGGGCAGAGGCATGCAACCATCTTGGAGGCTGAAAGAGAGAGAGAGAGAGGGGAAGAGCTTGCTTCCCCTGACCCCCTGGGGCACACACCAAGCCTGGGCTGCATGCCCCGACAGGTTGTTTTGCAAGGGAGATAAACCCTTACCATCTAAGCCACTGTTTCTTAGATTTATGGAGCTCACAGACAAAAGCAATCCCAACTCATGCATCTGCTGACTCCCGAGAGCCTCAGTCAGAGGCCTCTTGCTTCTTTTAGCATCAGCTCACTGAGCCCATCCAGCAGGATCTGCACTGAAGGAGACAGTCCCAACCCCTCCATGCATGGACTAGTCAACTAGAGCTATGAGAAAACCCTTCATCAACAGAAAATCACATGACAGCATTTGCTAGGTGGACTATGGACCAGGGACAAGCGCCATTTCATTCACTATCAGCGGGCGCCTAGCAGGTTCCTTTCTCACTAACCCATCTCCACTTTCCATTTCATTCTGCCTCCCCTTACCCTGAGCTTCCAGCAGAAGCTGTGCCATTTAATCCCAGGGCCTGGGCCTCTCCCTTCTCCCACTCCTCTGCAACATGGCCACGTCACCTGCTCTTATCTACTCTCCCTCTTTCGGGGCTCCTCAGCTTCAGGAAGGAGCCCTTTGCTAGTCCTGAGTTGTGCGTCCCGTTTATGGTCTCCTGGTAGTGGCATGATGGCTCTACTCACACTGTCACACAGCTGTAAGAAGGGGCCAGTGCTTCATGTGGATCCTGTGTCGTGAGACAGAGCGAAGGAGTAGTGACTGCTGTCTGGGTTGGGAGTGCTGGGCTGCAGAGAGCACTGCAAAAGATTTAATATCGACTGGAGATGGAGAGGGGAGGAAAGGTTTGTTTTCCAGGCAGAGAAGAGAAGAAACAAATCGTAGGTGGAAGAGATGAAGCATCCAATTCGTGTTGGGTGGTGTGCTTGGGGAACGCAGACTGGTCTGTCTCAGATGGGGCTAGGGCATGTTGTGAGCATCCCTGAGCACGAGGCTGGAAAGGGAGAGCTAGCCCAGAGTCGAAGCCATGGAGAGGCTCTGAAGGTTTCTGCAGATGAGTCACAACCAGTCAAGTCCCAGGGAAGAGCCCGAGACACTGCACTAAGCAGGGGAGACGAAAGGAACCATATTTAATTAGTGACCGGGTGCCTACAGCACTTCTCTCTTTAAATTCGTAAATTAATTTTCTTCTTACAGAAAACCTCAGAAGTAGATATTATACTCCCAGTTTATAGCTGGATGTAGAAAGATCCCGCAGGTAGCTAAGGGCATTAGCTACAATAGAAATAACTGGGGGCTGGGGCCAGGCCAGGAGCACGGAGCATGGAGAAGGGATGGTGAGGTCGGGGGAGTCAACAGATGCAGTTGGTGGTAAGAGAAGAAGATCAGGGAGGGAGCCGAGGACAGTGACAGAATCAGCAGGACAGAGACGTTGTATACATACAACCAGAGGGACTTGAATGGATGGTGGGGCATCAAATCCGGCAGCTTAGCTGGGGTGAGGGCGCCATGCTCCCGCGTTTCAGGTAGGTCGAGAAAGAGCAAGAGTGGCAGGAATTTCATGAGGGGTGTGTGTGGCCTTGTTCTCAGGAAGTCTGATGGCCCACAAGGAGAGACCCTGTGGGACCTTAAGTGTGTCTTTGAGGCATGCTTTAAGGTTGAAGAACGGTCCTTTGATGGCTGGGAGACTTGCTCTTGCTCAGAAGTTGAAGGAATGGGAGTGAGTAGAGGGGGAGAGACCTCTGATACAACAGGGAGGACAGACGCGGATCCCTGCTACTTGTTATCATGTAAGCAATGCTCTTATCTGAAACCAAAGGGCGTTATCCCAGAGGACGGGAGTGTCACATGAACTCCGGATGCCTGAAAACACACTGGTATTTTTTTTTGCACACTCACCGCCTGATTTAAATTATCCTCCACAATGACCCTGCGAGGTGGGTGGAACTGGTGGTGGTCTCCTCATTCTGCTGCTGGGCAGACAGAGCCTGGGGGAGGTTGAGTGACGTCCATGATGCCACGTAGCTGAGGCCTCCTCCTTGGCCACGCCACTTCCTCCTGCTCTCGTGGTGGACAGGGCTGTGGCTGCTCATCGGTGCTCCCCCGTCTCCTCCAGAGCGGCCTTCCCATTGGACTAGGCTCGGCCACCTGGCTTGCTTCTCACCGTGAGCTGACCTGCACTTCTCCACGCTGTCCTCTCTCCTGTCACCCGGGCAGTCTTGGAAGAGAGACAGCCACCAGATGGAAGCTGCCGGAATGTTGAGTTGACGTGGGAGGGTGGCTGCTTGGAAAGCCGCCTGAGCCTGGAGCAGGGTTTGAGTGACACAGGGGAAATGAACCCGAGAGCCGCCCATCACGGGATTGTTGCCGCAGCAAGGTCCAGTCTGTACGGTGGAAGGCCGGCGAAACCTTCCTAAAGAATGAAATAAAACCTCCCCGTCTCCGAGACAGCCCTACCCAGAACCTTCCCAGCATAATTAGGAAAGAAACATCACGAAGTCCCCCTGGTAGTTAAAATGCCATCAGGACTTTTTTTTTTTAAGGCTGTGCTGGATGGTGAGCCTTCGTTATGAGGTTCAGTTGTGGGCTTGAGCAGAGATTGTTTTCACAGATGTTCAGGGTGTGTGATGAGGAAATGGCCTTTTGCAGGGTTCAGGTTGATGGGGCCTCTGGGGACCCCCTCTGACTACACGCACAGAGGAAGTAGGGAGGGGTCCGAGGAGGCACAAGAGGACACAGTGGAGTAGGAGGAAGACCATGAAGGGGGGCAGCTGAGGCAACGTAACTGAACAAGATTTGGAGTCCCAGAGACTCGGGTTCGAGTCCTGGCTCTGCTGCTCCGTCACGGAATCATTTCCTTTCTCTGGGTCTTAGCATAGTGCTCTAGGAAGTGGGAGTGACGACCCTTGCCTTATAGGATTGTGGTGAATCTACCTGGATCCCATAAGTCACAGCCATGGTCATGGTCATGTTCATACCTCCCAATGGTGGTCCCGATCTCTACTCTTCCTCCTGTGGCTTCTTGGGTTCAGGGAAGCCGCTTGCTGCCTGTTCTTCTGAGATGCGTGTGTTGAAGCCCCAGTCAGTTGATGGCGTCTGGAGATGAGGCCTCTGGGAGATGATTAGCTGAGATCGGGAGGTGAGGCCCCCCCTGAGGGGATGAGGGACCATGGTAAGTGCAGTTTTGGGCTGAAGGTGCCTTTCTTTTGGAAGTCACACTGGAGTCTTCAAAGCTGAAAACAGACAGGGTGAGGCTGGTGAGAGGAGAATGGATGTTGACTGGTTAGAGCTGGTTTCAGGTGCAGTTCACCTGGGGCGATGAGTCCTTCTGCACTGCCCGGCCCAGCTGGCCAGTAATACGGACTAGGACCAAGGCCAGGATTATATGAAAGTCAGTGGGTAGGGCCTCCCGGCTGACATAGCCCTTAGGAAGCCCAGCAAAGCACCGGGCCTTGGCATTGGGCCTCCCTGAGGGGCCAAGAGAGCCCCCGATACATGGAGGGAGCAATGGTCCGGGGGGCTTCCTTTCCAGAGCCCCCACTGTGTCCCCGGTCACTTTGAGATATTCTTCCTCCCGCTTGGCAGTTTGTCCAGTTCTAAAATAAGACACTGGAAGATTTCCTTTGGTACTGATTTCCCAAACTTTAATCATTCCTGTACGATTTTTTTTTAACCTGTCTCGTGATCTCTATAAAATACCTGCCCTGACATTTACTTCACAATTCCTTAAAATCGACTCATTTTACCAGCACCCACTTTAGTTTAAATCTAAGCAGTCGATGCCCACAACGTCAGCGTGTGCGTGTCTTTTCTCACACACAGCACAATAGGTCGGTGACTCACACGTTGTAAAGGACATTCTTCTGTGAGTCACCCTACATCACCAAGTGTGAACGCAAGGCCTCCTTGGGTCACCTTTCAGGATGCTCTGGGAAGAAAGGGGCACCCTCCCAATGCAGTGGGGACGAGGGACACGGCATGGGCAGGGATGCTGGAGCTCCAGCCCCATGGGCGGCCTCCATCTTGGTTTGGGCTCCGTCTCAGCACGGCCATCTGCTCTGAATGAGCAGCCTTTTGTGAAAAGCTGTGGGGGGATCAGCCTGGCTGATTGGCTGGAGCTGTGCCCAGAATGCCCAGATGTACATTTGCCCCAAAAGACGGGGCACAGCTGGGGTTCACGGTCTCCCCGGAGGTTGGGTTTTCCTGGTGCAGCCCAACCCTGCCTCCCACTCTCCCGCAGTGCGGTGGGAGAGGGCCCAGAGCGGCCCCGAGAGCTCCCTCACCGCCGGCAGCCTGCCATTTGCAGCCACTGGGGACAGGAGATTGCTTCCATGGAAACAGAACCAGGGATTGTATTTCCAGAAACGTCTCAATCTAATTTGTGTGGAGCTGGGTTGTGTGTGTGGGTGTCTGTGTGCTCCTGTGTGGTGTGTTTCTGTCACAGAAGGTGGGGGGTGAGGAGCGGGAAGAGAGAATTTGCATAGAACCCCCATTTCCCTTGATTCCCAGGGACTCGATTATTTCAGGTGAGTGTTGGGCATCACGGAGGCCGAATCCTATTAGGGGGCTGGGTGAGGAAGTAGTCACCATTGTGTTTGGTCACGGTGATGAGCGATATTTGAATTCTGCCTTGATCTTGCCAATTCTCATTCTTATAGGAGGTATGTGCATAGGGAGGTAAAGAAAGGCAGAGGCAGAGTATTTCTGCTTAGGATTGCCTCCAAACCCTAATGAAGGACCCCAGTACTTAAGCAGAGTCTCCCTTTTCTCTATTTTAGGCAGGGCAGTGTAGCCTTCGGGGGGAAAAAAAAAAGATGTGGACTGTTATTTTTCAATTTCCACATCTGAGTCTTGGATTTTAAATCTGCAAAGGATCAACTGGACTCTCAGCAAAAAGAGCCAAAGAGGCGGAGAGTGAGGTGCTTCTGTGTTGGGAGTGAACCTGGCCTGTGCTGCCCTCCAGGTCTTTCTGACCCAAAACAGAGAGAGAGAGAGAGAGAGAGA